GTGTGTGTGTGTGTGTGTGTGTGTGTGTGTGTGTGTGTGTGTGTGTGTGTGTTGAGAAGGGGAGGGGCAAGGAGAGAAAGAGAGATGTTAGCAGCCTGACAGCAACGTTGACAGCAACGTGCACATACAGTGAACGCGCATACGCACACCAACCTACACACACACACACACACACACACACACACACACACACACACACACGCACGCACGCACGCACACACACACACGCACGCACCCCCTGACGCGGATCTTCCAGTTGGTGGTGTCAAACTCCACAATCTCCACGCGCTTGCAGACAAGAAAGTCTTCGGCACTGAAGCGAAACAGAAACTCGTCCAGTAGCGCAAACAGCAGTGACAGTAGGTCTGTCCCTGTGGGAGGTTGAGAGTGACAAAAAAGAAAACAAGCAGTGCTGGCATGTTCAGCAGGGCGCTCTGGCACAACAACAGTGGTAGCAGCTGGCACAGCTGGTGGCTGGTGCATACCAGGGACAGGCAAATTGACGGCGGTGCCTACAAACATGCAATTGCGGTGTGTACGTCACACACACACACACACACACACACACACACACACAACACACAAACTCACCTGAGACCTCAAGCTCGGACGTCTTCTCAGTGTCAATGTCAACCTTGTCCAATTCCGTCATATATCCAAACATGGCGACAACACACTGCAACGCCAAGCCATGTCACACGCACATGAGAATAGAAACAAAACACAGGACCAGCGAAGCACGCGCACGCACCGCTCAACCTAGAAAACACGATATGCACACACACACACACACACACACCGATATGCACACACACACACGCGCGCGCATCCACACACACACACACACACCGATATGCACACACACACCGATATGCACACGCACACACGCGCGCGCATCCACACACACACACACCGATATGCACACACACACCGATATGCACACACACACACACACGCGCGCGCGCGCATGCACACGCATGCACACACACACACACATGCACACATGCACATACACACCTGTTCAAAGGACTCCTTCAGCGAATCACCCCAAGCGTGAACCCTGCAAATTGCGTTTGTTTCAAGATATGACATGGGCAACAGTGCAGTCAGAAAGGCTGTTTGAGCCGTGAGCAGCTACAGCGTGCCAGTGCGAGTCAGTGTGATGCATCATCAACCCCAAACACTAACGTACTGAATGTCTGCTGTGTGGTCGAGATCTGGGCGATGGCACAGGACAAGAGGCGAGCATCGTGACGATCGTTTCAGTGAAGTGGAAACCAAGCGGGAAGTAGCAGCAAAGGCAAGAGCAGAAACAGGAGCAGGAAGATTGAATAACAAGCAGTGTACGTGTGTGCTTTTGTGCGTGCGTGTGTGTGTGTGTGCGCTTGTGTGTGCGTGTGCTTGTGAGTGCGTGCGTGTGTGCGTGCGTGTGCGTGCGTGGTAACACGAGTGAGTTTCATTCAATCAGGAGACACGAGTTTCAAAGGGCAGTGAACAGGTGTTGGTGCTCACACGTACATTCATATTTCTTGCTGGAGGGTGCGCTAGCATCCTGTTCCGCCTTTGGCTCCTGCTTATGCACATGGCCCGTGACAAGCAGGTGTGAGACGATGACCATCGCCTCAACTTCTCAACGTCACAACACAAGGCAACTTCGATGCCAAACACACAAACGCCACGTGAAATGGCCAAGGTGCACGTCGTTGAAGAAAGCAGCTCACCTCAGCAGCTGCTGTGACTGGCTTCGCTTCGCTCATTGTGTGTGTGTGTGTGTGTGTGTGTGTGTGTGTGTGTGTGTGTGTGTGTGTGTGTGTGTGTGTGTGTGTGTTGTGAGGTTGGTGCAGTGGTGTGCGCTGTGTGTATTGGCTGTTGCTTCTTCGAGCTGCTTGTTGATGATTTTCGGTATCTTTGCATAATAATCAGCAAGGCGCGCCGCACGAACAACAACCAACCAACAACACACTTTCGACCGACCAACCAACCAACCGCCAACAGCCCAAAAGCAACAACGAAACACATTCACACACCGCTCGCTTGCTTGCTTGCTGAGTCGCTCGTTTCGACCATCAAGTGTTGTTGTTGTTATTGATACGTCTGCTCTGGCTTTCGTTGCACACCTGGTACCGACATCAGCAGCCCTTGCATTTGACGTCGTGCCAACCCACCACACCGCTGCCGTCGTTTTGGAATCGACAAACCATTCGCAGCTGAGGTGCGCTGAAACACGCATGTGCAAACACTCACACAGCCCACCCTTTTGTCTCTCTCCCTCACTCACTCACTCGCATGCGCACTCAATCACATGCGCACTCACACACACACACACACACTCTCTCTCCCCCCGTCTCCTTGGTAGAGCTCATACACCTTGCTTGGGTGATGGAGCCCGCGTTTCCAAAAGGTGGCAGTGCCACCATGACACCACCTCCGCCATCCCAAGCGACACAGCAGTTGTCAACAAGGGAGCACAAGCCGCTACCGCTCCACGCGTGCACTTGCACATGCACAAACGTCGAGAACGTATCCCCACCGCTCCTCCACACCAAGACAACTGTCTCAAGTTGGGCCCACTGTCCCATGCATCACCACGCAGCTGTTAATCAACCCCACCTGTCGCACCCGGCGCCTCGTCAACCATCAGCACCAACGATAGAGCCCACTTCACCAGCACAGTGTACACCACCCATCGCTCCCGCTGCCAGCACACCACCCGGCCCACAAAACGCACACGACGCACATGTGACAAACGCCTCGAACGGCAGCTCTGCACCGAACCCAACGCGCAGCACCACCGCGGTTGTCGGGCGTCGAGCACCTGCGCTGAGCAGCAGCAGCTTCAGCGGCCTGTTTGACCCCGACGCGGACCACCCACCAGGCACCGTCGGCAGCTTCCTGTCGCGCACGGCGTCGCTCGCGCGCATCAGCAGCCTCATCATGCAGGAGGAACAACAACCGTTGGGAGTGCTGCTTGGAGGCGCGGCGACAAGCGACAGCGGATACGGCATGCAGCCCCGCGTGTCGCAGATATGGATGGCTACTCTCACACAGCAGCAGCAGCAGCAGCAGCAACAGCAGCAGCAGCAGCAGCAGCAGCAACAACAGCAATGGGGCAAAGGTCATGACTGTGGCCATAGTGGCGAGGATGATGCTGATGATGCTGGTGAGTATGGAAACGAAGACGACGACTATGGGGTTGAAGGGGATGGAAAAGAGAAGAGAGAAAGCGGCAGTGGAGGGAGAGCAGCTGCTGCTGCTGCTACTCTCAATAGCAGCGGTGTTGAAGGTGGAAATGTGGTGAGCAACAACATGGGTTCTGTTACCAGCAATGGCGCCCGCAGCCAGCACGGTGGAGAGATTGCAGCTGATGGCGATGCAGGTCGAGCCAGCGCCAACAGTCATCCACCACCTCCACCACAGTTGCAGCGAGGGACAGACCCAGCACAGGGCGGGGCATCGTGGTTGCGGCCGGCGCTGCCGTCGCGTCAGGAATCACGTGCGAGGCTGGCACCAACCCCATCTGGTGTTCCCCTCACCTTGGGCGGCATCAGCAGCTTTTTTGCCCGCGCCAACTCCATGGTGCTGCGCAGTGTGCCGCAGCCATCAACGCGGCTGACGGGCCTGTCGCAGCTGCTGAGCGCAGACGTGGACACGGTGCATCCGATCTACGAGGACGGGGACGACGAGTTCTTCCAGGGGTTTGACGACGACCTTGCCAGCATGCTGGACCGAGCATCCTCCCGCGGATCGTCCATGCACGGCGGATATGGGGAGGCGTTGCCGCCCTCGCCATCCGCCATTGCACAGGGCCGTACCCACTCCCGCGCACACCCGACACCCACCCCACTGCAACCCACTCAGCAGCAGCAGCAGCGGCAGCCTGGTGGTGGAGGTGGGCAGGTTGCGTGGCAGCGCATGCTGTCGAATCCGTTTGAGTGCTTCTCCACCGACACTGGCGAGGATGACCCGGCATTAATTCCTGCTTGTGCTGATGATGGCAAAGGCGGCCGTGGTCCCGCTCAGCAGCAGCAGCAGCAGCAGCAGCAGCAGCAACAACAACAAATACAACAACAACAACAACAACAACAACAACAGCAGCAGCTGATGGGAGCCCAACCCCTCCATCCAAGCTTCTCATCACTCTTTCCCTCGCTACCGGCATCTGCTCTCGCATCTCCACAGCCCTCACTACTGAGACAGATGCTGCCGCCACCACCACCACCACCACCACCGATGATGCAGCCACAGGGTCAGGCGTGTGGCCCCGGTCAGCAGGGCAGTCCTGTTACATCGCGTGCGAAGCAGCCGAAAAGCGGCCGCAGCGAGGCAAGTTTGGGAGGCGACGAAGGTGATGAAGGCCAAGCCCAAGGCCTGCGGGTGAAGAGGGTTTCGTCTCTCAACCAGCAGCTGCACCAGGAGCGGTTGCGAAAAGCGGGAGCGGCTACAGGGCGGCGGCGGCGGCGGCATGGCGGGAGGGCTCGGCCAAACGCGCGCGCTGGCCCGCTTGGTGGCGCCCGCGTCTCCCCTATTGTGACGCGCGGCACTCACCGTGCGCCGCACCTCCGCTGGCCGATCCTGCAGAGCACGGGCGATGGGCATGTGCGCGTGCACAGGGGAGGCACTCTTGCCATGATGCAGGAGACGCAGCGACTGCTGCAGCGGCCACAGCTCCTCTACTACGAATTCCCGCCAAGCTGCTGACTCTGTGCTTGTGTTGTGTTGTGTTGTGTTGTGTTGTGTTGTGTTGTGTTGTGTTGTGTTGTGTTGTGTTGTGTTGTGTTGTGTTGTGTTGTGTATGTATGTGTATGTATGTGTGTGTGTGTTGTGTATGTGTGTGTTTGTCTCCGTCTGCGTCTAATGGAAACCATCCATCCCACCAACCCCACGTTCACCACCATCCATCCTTGTTCACCAACCAACCACCTCGCTTTGCCGATTATTGGATTAAATCATTCACAAATTGTCCACAATGGCTCCAACAGCGTCCGCGAAGGACAAGGTGTGACAGGCAGTGTAGCAGTGCAGCAGCAGTTGCTTTGATGGCCATCAACTCTTCGTCTTGTTTGCTTTCTTTCTTGCTTGGTCACTGCGCCTCGCTAGCACTGCTTTGTGAGGTCTTACGCGGCGCCCTTTTGTTTAACAGGACGCCTTCTTGGACCGCATTTACTGGGCGAGGCAAGCCCTCGCGCTGTTGTGCGGCATCACCTTTGGTGCTTTTCCACTGACGTCCTGGGCTGGCTTTGTCAGGTGAGCGAGTGTGTGTGTGTATGTGTGTGTGTTATTAATGTGGCTGAATGTATGATGAAATATGGGATTACACGCACGTGTGTGTATTGTGTGCTTGAGAACAACAAAGTGCATCTGCACGTGTCGAAAACACGTTCCCAAGTCATTGGTTGAGCGTGCTAGCAACTCACATACATTACTTCAACGACACACGTGGTCACACAACGCAACACCATGGCAGCTTCTTCTTGGTGGTGCTGCTCGGTCCGCTGCAGTGGGCTCAGACCATGTACAAGTCACAGATGGCGCTGTTGCACCTGGAGCAGACCGATATCTTCTCCGAAGGATTCCAGCCGTCGCTTTTTGTCTTCATGGTGCGTGTGCATGTGTGCGCGTACATGTCTTGTTTGAATACACATGTAACTATGTACATCGCTGCACCGCTGCTGTGTCCACAACACCATGCCACTGTATCCACCCTCCACGTCTTCGCCACAACTCCGTCTCACTTTTTCTGTGTGTGTGTGTGTGTGTTTGTGTGTGTGTGTGTATCTGTGCCTGTAGGCGTCATGGATTCTGGTCTACACGACCTTGTACGGCGACTTTGAGTAATGCAGCACCGCACCACGCATTGTTGCTGAAAGCCACCACCACCGCCGCCGCCGCCATCCATAACATCAATGACATCAGCACCAACAACACCATCACAACAGCACCCAGAACAGCCTTTGTTCTTGTTCGGTTGCTTGCTTGATCAAACGATTCAGCCATTTGCAATCTTCACGTGCGTGTATATACACCGGCTTTGCCCGTGTTAGCGAACATTATAGAGAGATACATGCGACAAGCAGTAGTGTGCAGCCACAGTTCGGTTTAAGCGAGTCAATTATTATACTGGAGTGGGATTGAGAAGTTGAGAAGTTGAGAAGCGAGGAGGGGGGGGGGGGTGTTGAGGACAAGAAAGAGGAGGTGTCATGATGTGAAACACAATCAAAGTGCAGCACAGATATCGGCGTGCAATGGCACCGCCTCCTGCAACTTCGAACACATCAACCATTCACACGCACACACACCAAAAAAAAAAAAAAATCGTGTGGCCTTACATTGCACGTTGCTTGGCAGCACAGTGGGCCACGGGGCCCGTCACGGCACTGTGCCTGCAACGAGTGAGCACACGTGCGTGAGGCCGTTGTCTGTGCACGAAAGCAGCAGCTCTCCATCCTCCCATGACATGTCCTCCCACTCCCGGCCCTGGTGTGAGGTGGAGAGAGAAAGAGAGAGAAAGAGAGAGAGGGGGGGGGGGGCGGTTTGTGGTGGTGTGAGAGGCGGCGAAGAGAGTTTCAGAGGGAGGGGGAGGACACAGGGTGGCAGCATCAGCAGCAACAGCGAGCAGTCACAACAGACAAAGAATAACATTGAACAGAAACGACGACCGACCTCTGGCGGCGGCGGGCACTCGATGAGAACGCAGCGGTCAGCAACGCCCTGCGTGTGTATGCGCACAGCGCCTGGAAGGAGAAACGCAACTTGCTGTGCAGACATGCGAACACATGCGCGCGGCACGCGAGCGAAGGTCTCGATGGCTGCAGTGCGATTGCTGTTTCGTCGACGCACGGGTCGTTGTCCACACGTCATAGACGTCACTCTCCACCCAGTCCCACCTGTATGCATGAATGCGTGAGTGTGTGTGTGTGAGTGTGCGAGTGTGCGAGTGAGTGAGTGGGAGAGAGAGAGCGTGTGTGTGTGTGTGTGTGTGTGTGTGTGTGTGTGTGTGTGTGTGTGTGTGTGTGTGTGTGTGTGTGTGTGTGTGTGTGTGTGTGTGAG